GGAACACATGAAGCGTGATTGGCTGGCAAGTATACCGCCGCTGAACCACTGACACACAGATGTCATCTTATTTATCCATCACGATAGTGTCATACTTTTTATTTCTTGAGCGTTGAAGTTTCTGCAGCGGTAGGGTCGCTAGCCTCACGCCCAACCATCCCTCTTTCCCGGGTTTGGGATCGGCTAGAGAACTGGCAAGCTAGTAAACCATCAACGGGAGAAATCTAAAAGAGATTACTTCCTCCACTTATCTAGGAAGCATGGTTCCAACCACAGACACATAGCACTGATGAAGATGTCAAAGCCAGCCAGGATCGGGAAGGCGAGATACACTTTCATTAACCTGAAACCAGTTTGGAAATCCCCTACACTCACTTAGCATAAAGAAGAAGTTTCGGATATTCAACAGTAATGTTAAATATGTTACTTCTTCCAAATGCATCAGAAACTTGGCCAGCGTGTCACGTGAAGCTTTTCTAACAGGAGTCTGCAGACTTTTATCAACAGCTACCCCGTCCACTGGCTGCATATTGAAGAAAAAATGGCCAACCAGGAGAGATTAGCAATAAGAAACTCTGCAGTGGAACAAAGCAACCAATAGCTGATTGCTCAACAAATTTGTAGGAGAAAATGGAGATAAATTGGTGGCACGCTGAAAAGTCCTTTGAGTGACATCGCGCTCCAAGGCATCATTCGACTGGAACCCGAGTGGTACACGACTAGTGGGACATGTGTTAGAGAATGACGTCGAGGCGATCGGTTGGGGATGAGGTGACGAGAGATTATGGTCAATCATGGACCCAGCTGGATGGGACAGAAGAAAATCGAACAAAGTGGAGACGTGCTGTTAAGCCGAAGTAATGTTTCACTCAAAACGCCCGAAGGAACAATAAAAATGTAATAATAGTGTCATATAACTGTACTTAATTTGAAGAGATATTCCCTGGGATTCTTACGTCAGGAGGGTGAAGTGGTTGGATTATAATTGTAATATGAAAACTCGCATAATTCCAAAGGCAACACGTTGGTACTGACGGTTGTTCCCCCTGGACTCTCAGCACTCCATGTATATATACATTATGGTTCTCCATTTCAAGGAAAATTTATAGGGGTTTCGTCTCAAGCAACTGCAGACACCATTTCACTAAACAGCTGTCTGTCTCACCTGTAGCGAATTTTATCTAGTCTAAATTAATAGCATTCCCAGTGCTTCATATTAGAATAGAAACTGGACATTGTGGTGGAGTATAATTCTATTATGGAGAAGATTTATTTTGATAAAGTCTTACACAGTGTCGTACACTTATGTTTACTGAAAGCGTTTTGAGCACAGTTTATTGCTCATAATCATATCAAGTTTCCCACACAACTCTCCAACTTCGTTTGCATAATTCCATTATTTTTCACATCTTGGCAGTAGTATTTTCCATATTTCTGTGTGAGTGATGAGTCATTCCTACCGTACGTGGTGGGTGTAGACTCGATGAACAAGGATTCAGTAATCAACCTCTCTCTCCACCCACCTATATTACTTCTTAGAATTGTAATCCTTCTCCCACCACACCGTTGTGTGGTTGTGTATTAATACATGCAGTGCAATCGTTGGGCTTTTTTACCTATCTTCTCGGGGTCAACCATTCTTACCTTGGGTAAATTCGTATGTTCCAACAATCTGAATACCCCTGATCTACTAGTTTGACCTATGTAGTTGAACTCACAATCATTGAAATCCGAATAAATCTGCTGAAGAAGCTATGGCTTACACAGCGAGACGTTCAGAAAAACCTTGTTTTGATTTTGTTAACACGCTGGGATTAATTTAAATAATTTATAATGAATCAATCTGACTCGGTGCTCAAATTATTCCAGGAAGTTCGTAACACCTACGGCCTGGAAGCCTATAATCTTATTTTGTAAATTATATTATTTTGTCTAATAGGGTCAACTCATAGGGTCCTTTAAACTATAGAGCTTGTCATACCTGAGTGAATTTGTAGAATGAAATGCCACTCTAATTCCTGCTTTATTAAGAATCCTAAGTAGGCAATGTCACAGATCTCCCCTCCTTATATGGTATAACTAAAGATGCCTTATATTCTCTCTTACCTATGTTATTATTATTAGTTTCACCATTATATTTTTTACTTTTTTTATGACCTTTTCTGATCTTCCTAATTAATTTTATACGATAGTTATTTAACACCAACCAGCCATTCTTCTATCTGTCTTATTTCACCATTTACGTTTTTTCTTGTACTACTTAGTGCTATGGCTCGGTCTGTTATATTTTAACTAAGCCTGCCTTTTCCAGATAACGAACTGATGAGATGAATTAAAGTCTATTAGAATGCGTTGGTTTTTTATAAACACTAGTGTGCACTTTATCCTCTTCTATTCATCTTATTTTATAATCTAAGATTATGGCTAATTCTCCTTGTTCATTTTCCGATTCACATGTGAATTTTATTCCCCCTACTAGTGACTTTATACGTGCCAAGAAGCTAAAGATGTGTCGTGTTTTTAACACTGTGAGAGTGTTATCCACAAATCTCCTGTATTTAAATGGAGTGGAATCAAATGCATTAAGGGCAACTTTTTCCAGCTGTCAAAAAATACATCTCTGTGATAGGGAATATTTGTGATTCCACTTCTACACCTTCTGCTTGTCTATTTATTTCGCCCTGGAATTTAAAGATAGTAGACGTAAGGCATAATTGAGTTCTTTAAATAATTTCCTCAATGAGTAACTCTATCCAAGAGTAAGTCCAGGATCAGTTAGTTCTGCTGCTTCTAACTGCCTCTAAGGCTGCCATATTGATTGGTATATTAGTGTAAAGACTGGTTATATCAAAACTTACCGTTTTTCTCATTATTCTCTTACTGAGCGTCATTTAGTTTCTTCTCCATTTTATGTGAATTAATCAGCCTAGAGTTTGAACGATTTCTCATAGGACATAATATTCGAGCTAAATGTTTTGATAATTCATTCTTAGTCCTCTCAAATCAAATGACAAATTATAATAGGAATTAGTGTTCATAGTGTATGCTTAATTGCTTCATACCGACCTACAGTCTCAGAAAATAAGTACCAATCTGTATAGCTTGTTTTCTTCCTCGTAGAAATAGTCTTGTATTTTGTCGAGAAGATTCTCGTTGTTTTTGGAAAAGAGTTAATCACAGTTATTCCATGGTATTTGCCTCAACTTGATCGAATAAACAGTCATCGTGTTTCCATGAAGGTGACCAAGGTTAAAATACTTAACATGTTAGTTGGAATACGAGACAGTAAAAGAAAAAGGGAGGTTCACATGAAATGTTTCACTGTAGGCTAGGAAGATATGATCGTTTGATCTTTTAATTCCACAGTCTGTATATGGACTAACCTCAAGGAATTCTAACTCCTAGACAATTTCCGTCAAGTGATCCAATATGTTTTGCTATAGGCATACAAAAAACCTAATTAAGTTAAGATACCAAGACATGTGCTCAGTTGCCAAGCCTATAGGATTTATATTCAGGTTCATGGTAAATTCCCATTGTAACATAAAGAAAATCAAAACAAGTGATTCAGCGAAGAGACTGTTTTCAATGAATTTATTATCAAGCTGTATATATATATATAGGGTTTTTTTAAAAGAAATTATATCCTGTGAGGGAAGTGAATCCTAGATATGCTTACATAAAGTAATAATAGTATGAAATGGAATTAAAATGTTTGTGATTATATTCATAGTTAAATATCAAGTATCAGGTTGCAAAACAATTAATGGCATATACAGAATAATTCATAGGATGTATAGAACTTGAAACTCATCTGTATTACTGAAGCTTTGGCTATCGAAACAGAAAAGCCAGATCTCTTTATACAGAAAAAGTTCATTCAACCCCTCCAAATTTCATGGTCTTAATCCCTGTATGCTAAAGTATGGTAATCCCCATTTCATCTTTTGGCTCTACCAATTTTTTCGTTTTGTCTATTCACTTTGTATACTTTTCTTTTATTACGCCAATTGTTACTATTATTATCCTCGACGTGAATTGTCCCCGGTATTATTTCACTTGTTCCACTTGTCATTCTAAATCAATTCTGTTTTGCAACGTTAAATTCTGTGTTATAAAATTTCACACAATGTTACGTATAGTTTTAATTTTATTCTATTTGCCTACTAATAATATAACTGCACACCCATTTGCAGTATCTATACATCATTTGAATTATTCTATATATGAAATTAACTGTTTTGCCACCTGACACTTGATATTTAACTATGATTACAATCACAAACATTTTAACTGCATTCCATACCACTATTATTATTATTATTTTTATGCATTCACACCTATGATTAAATTCCCTCGCCGGACATAATTTCTTAAAAACCATATCTATATACGACTGTACAGCCTGATAATAAATTCGTTGGAAAGAGTCTCTTCCCTGAATCACCTGTTTTGATTTTATATTTAAGTGTTGGTTTTCAGGGATTAGGTTGGCTACAGGATTTCATAATTATAAGCTGAAATCGGTTAGAGGACTTTTCGAGAACCAACAAGTAGTACTGAAAAGCTGTTTCGTCAGCCTAGTTTAGGGCTCTTCATCAGTATCCATCCACTGCCATGGTTAGAACCCAGGATCTTCTGGTTATGAGGCGAGCTCGTAAACCATTAAGCCACTGGGACCCGATTCATTGGCCAGCACATGAATTACAACTTCTACCAATCCACGGTAAATCTCATCTGGCACTAGCCAATGTCATCGCTAGAGACTATTTCTTATCACAGTCAAACTGCTGTGCCCCACTGGTCACGACTTCTGAATTATGTAGTGTGAGCTTACATAATTGTTACATTGATTAGTATTATTCTTAAAACAGAGTTTAACTACTTATTTTCATGAATCAGTAGTTAATGTGAGCACAGCAAGTTGGACTGGAATTATGATTTGTCGTCTTTTAGATGTGAATGTATTTAAATTATAAAATAGAACATGTACTACTTACCAGTTTCTTGAAGATTACTTCCGGCTTTATATCCATTTACTGCCAAGGAGATCTGACGATCCTGTGAGTTAAAAAAACAGAATTATTTAAAAATTGGATTCTAATAGATACGTAATACAAAAGTTTGCAAAATATATGTCACTGAGAATGAGAATCTCCTATTGTTCCTTTGGTTACTTTTATAGGCACCTAAATTTATGTTATTTACAGTTGGTAGAGTATTCATATCCTGGATACTTGCTGTTATCGAAACACTTTGTGAAAAATAAGATATCGTTGAGTTTTTACTTGGTTTTGTGAGCATTTAATTTTGAATTATAGCTTGATTCCACACTGTATTTTTGGTACAAGTATGAAATTTTCAGCATCTGATATCGGTAGCCCAAATTTTGCAGGTCGACCATAGATATCAGGTGTGCGTCGTCAGGGGATCTAACCCCGGACCATTTACATGGTCGGCGAGCGCCCTAACCGTTGTGCCACAGACGCATTTACTCTTCTGTAATGAATTCTATTCCTATCTGATGAGATGCAGGAGGGGAGTGGTTATGAAAAGAGAGGATGTTGAGGGTGGGACAACATGGATTTGGACGATTTCTCACGCGAGTTCAAGTGTCTGTTGACTACAATAGTAACGAGCTGACTGACAATCTCTAATCCACTTCGGAATATAACAAAGGCCTTTTTGAATTGCCCAGGAAAGACTAAGACAGAGAAGTAAAGAGCCCTAGGCAAGATGGAAGAAATGACAAACTGTGAAACTTCAGGTTAGGGGATACCTACGTGGTTATCTTAACTTCTTAATGTACAGGGTTAGGCTGATCATTTTCTGAGAAATCGACAAGATATGGGATGACCGATCACGAAATTTCAGAGGACAGAAGTATTCTAAGGTATGTAATGCTTGACGTAGTTTCTGTTTCATTGCCCTCTATGTTAAAAGCATCGTGTGAGCGAAATAGTCTGCATACATCATTTTTACGCCTGAAGGTGAAGTTCACTGTCTGAAATATTGAGGGATTTAACGTAAGAGCATATAGGTTGGACCACTAGCTTATGTTCACCAAGAACTATTCACTTTTGAGTTCAGACCGGGACGTAGCTGGCAACGAGATGGTCAGATCATAAGCGTATTTAAGAAGCGTATTTTAGAAGGCGTGAAACCCTCACAGGAAGACATCAGAAGTGACTTTCTTCGTCAGTAAACCGTCATTTCAAGAAAGGATTCGTTTCTGAAGAGTATTCTCATTTTTATAATGTTATGAAAGAAAGTATAACAGAAAGAAGTAGCGTGATGAAAGCTAATTTATGCCCATAATAGACTTACGGAGAATGCATTTATCACAAAATTCATATGGGTGTTAGAATTTAGAGCCGAGGGCATCAAAAAATGTATAAATAATCTACATCAACCTCATACAGAAGCTATATGACAATGGCACGTGTTGGGTAATCAACAACGCAAAACTCACTGAAGCATTTAAGATGGGGACAGAAGTAAGACAAGGCTGCCTACTATCACCCACGATGATATTCTTGTTTGTGGTGGACTGGATTATGCGTCAAACTGTTGGAGGGTGACAAGATAGGAATGTGTTGGATCAATAAGAAGACTCTAGAAGATCTGGATTTCGCGGATGATTTATGCCTAATATGACACACACTCTAAGACTTCTTTGCAAAATCAGCAAGTTGTCAGAAGAGACAAACGGCAAAGTTAGTACCTCAAGTGAGCACAGAGAAAATCAAGGTGATGAAGATAACATAGCAACAATAACAAGCACTAATCACTATCACTGCAATAAATTTGAATGAGGTCACTCCTCTTACTTATCTAGGAAGTATCGTCCCAACTACAAGCAAAAGAACGAATGAGGATGCCAGAACCGAAAAGGCAAGACAAACCTTCATCACATTTTGAAATCATTTTGGAAATCTCACGCACTTTAAACAAAAACAAAATTTTAATTTTCAGCACCAATATTAATTCAGTCAGTTCTTCAATATTAGTCAGAAACTTGGTCAGCGCGTCACCAAAAGCACTGCCAACAGCCAACTACCGACTTTCATCGACCGCTGCCTTTGCTATTTCGATATTGAAGATCAGGCGACTGACCAGAAACAATCGGTAACAAGAAACTTTTGGAACCAAACAAACAAAGGGCCATGTGCTTAAAAGATATGCTGAGGTAAATAGAAGAAGATTAGTCACACGTTGAGGGGATCGTCGAATTACCTCGCGCTCTAGGTTCTTGAGTGGAACCCAAGTGGGAAACGACTAGTGGGATGTGGGTTCAAGGTTGACATGAAGGAGATCTTTTGGAGATAGGGAGATGGAAGGCTATGGTCAGTCGTGTGGCCGGCTAAAGAGGACCACAGAGAATAGAACACAATGGAGTCGTGTTGCTGAAGCCCTTCGTTCCACTCAGAACCTAGGAGAGCAGTGGTAATAATAACTTAGTCGAACTGATCATACCACAAATCAAATTAATAATTTGCAAACTGGTTATCGATTTGCAGGCTACACAGTTTGGGAGTTGAAATTGCACTGGTGAATGAATCCATGAATGAATTAAAGTGTGCACTACTAGTTCATAGAAGTGGTATGCAACTACTCATCTAGGTCAATCAGTAGTATATAGTTTTATGCAAATTTACTTGCTTTCCTCATTACCATTCATAAAATCAAGCAGATTACTCACACGCCGTGAACGGAATAACGTGGTTTTCAAAGGAGACTACAGTAAAACTTCACCACTCAAACTGCAGATTGCCTACCAATATGCAAATTGGAAACATTCATTTCCCAATAGGAATTTGAAACAAGCCATAAACGTTGTTAATTAAGTAGGATTTAATGAATTCACCAAGTTTCGGTAGAAGCACTCTTCATCTGAATACTCTACATACAGGAAGCGATATAAACTTAAGATAATAATGTATTAAGGTTCAGTTACATCACCCAAATAAACAATCAGTTATCAGTGAATGAAAGAACTTAAGTATATTTCAAGGATTACGAAGTGAATAATGGTAGTAATAATGATAATAATGTTAAAAAGATTAAAGACAATGGTAATGATAAAAGATAGTTTCAAATGAGGCAGAAATAATAATAATAAGAGGTAGAATAAAGTATTAATAATAACAGTTAATAAGTAAAACATATTACTACGTTAGATTCAGAGTGACCACCATTTCCTTCTGTACACAAGGACAGGATTTATAAAGTCTAACTACACAAGCCTCCGCAATTGTAAGAATCTTCCTGTTTGCTTGTCTTCTGACAACGGTGAATGACTTGATAGTGCACCAATATCATATCCATAGTCCACAATATGCTTTGTCCTAGGAACTTCTAGGCACTTTGACTTCAGCTGTTTACAACCACTTCGTCAAATGCTCCATCATGTGAGTAGACAATCACTGGTTGTTGCAGATATATTCATGGATAAGTGGGAAAACACAGAGATTGAAACGTTCAGCCCCACTCCAAAAGTATGGTGGAGGTGTATAGATGACACATTCACTATACTTAGAACACAGGATATATATAGATTTTTCGAACACATTAATTCAAAAGTGAAGGCAATTCAATTCACTTATGAATTGGAAAGTCAGAAAGGGGAACTGCCAATGTTAGATTGTAGCGTAAAAAGGAAAGAAGATGGGAAGTTAAACACTAGTGTTCACAGGAAACCCACAAATTCAAACAGATATCTGGACTTCCGGTCATCCCATCCTATGTCAGTAAAAACAGGATTGGTGAAATGTTTAAGTAATAGTGCACAAAAACTAAGTGGTACCAAGGGAAATCTAAGACAGGAAGTGAGGCATATTAGAGAAGCATTGAGACTTAATAATTACGCTGATAAATTAATCAGGAAGAATGCAGGGAAATGTAAAACTAAAATAAATAATGATAGTAGTGATAGTAATAATAATAATAATATTAATGGTGACATGCATGTCAAACATGCGCAAACAGCACCAACAATAAGGAATCTAAATCATCAATAGTAATTCTATACAAGGAAGGAACCTCGGAAGCCTAACGCAGAATTCTTAACAATGCAGACAGGAATAAAAGTAGCTGGTATTCAAACCACCCACAAACTCATTAAAAAATAAGCTTTGCCAGTTAAAGGATCCTGTGGAACAGCGCATTAAACAAAACAATTTAGTTTATCTAATGCCCTACGACGATTGTCAAGTCAAATACATAGAGCAGAGTAGTAGAACAGGGGCAGTCAGACTAGCCGAGCAGCATAAAAACCTATCAAAATCTAGATTGGTTGACCCGAATAAGATAAGAAATCTAGAGAATAGTTCAGCTACAGCACTCTCTACATGCAATTACGCACAACCATACAATTGGATGATGGCATAAGATAACAATTTTAAAATCTAATGTAACAGGGCAGAGGGAGAGATTGAAAATAGAAGCTTCGTTTATCGAGGCAACTGCAAACACGTGTAATAGGAATGATTGAACACCTGTCCCAGATATCTGGAAAATTCTACTACCCATACGACAAATAGGAGAGAACAAAGAAAACTATAAAACTCAAGTTTCGAAGTCGTGTGATCACAATTGATATGATTATGAACAATAAATTTTGTTCGAAAAGTCATCCAGTAAATAATACTGTTTCACTGTGTGCTATATCTAATAAACAAACTAATATCGAACTGCTTACCACCACAGTGCCCAAGGTTTACACATATTAACCTTTATTTACGGCCTATGTATTTTCTTCCACAGTCACACACTCAAGTCTATATGTGCAGTTTGTATGGTGGAAGATTGGCAACTAGTCTTTCCCAGATTGCTGAAGCATCTGCTTGGTGGTGGTATTAAGGAAAAGGAGTTTTACAGAATGATAAGTACTCTTGATATCTTTGTCGAGTTTTCGTTTGACTACTTCTTGTACACATTATCTCCTTTCAATGGCAAACTGATATAAATATAAACTTAGAGCCAGAAGTGGTCAACAATTTATACCAGTATTGTGATGAGTACTAACTATACAGAAAATGTATTTTCATGTTTATAGACAA